AAAGTCTCTGTAAATGTTCGTTAAAACTAATAAAATTTAATAATAATTAAAGAAATAAAACACCAAATAATTTATAATCAAGTAAAAACACACTTAAAAATTAACTTTTTTGAAATTGAGAGAACATATTTGTGTTAAGGCAAAGTAGTCAGATCTACAGTGGACAATAGAACTTGAAGCAAATGATAGTGTAAAATAACAGCTATAATAATAAGTGACATCAATCAAAACATTTTTAAAGAAAAACATTCAAACTAAACTTTTTGGACATTAAAAAAGAAACTTACACAAGCATACTTATTGTGGGAGAGATTACACTACCAAATGATTGTGAACTACTAGGTTAAAAGACCAGCTACCTATAATAAATTAAAAAAAATACTTTTACTATTATAACTAATACATTTAAATATAACCAGTTTTTTTAGTAAATTTGTATACTGCTAACAATGCTTTCCCAGTAATTAATAGTGCATTCACAAAAATTTCCACAAACTTCCATTTTATCTGTTTAAAAATGAAACTTGAACAAGACACATTTTTTTAACAAATAATAGGATGAAATGAAATATAAATGAAAATTTAAATTTTAATTACAAAATAACTTGATAGAAAAGAGCTGTTAAAAGGAATAAATAATTAGTCATTAAATGTTTAACACTCCAGAATGAGAGGTCAATAGCAAAGTGGAATAAGAGAAAGGGTATGAGGAAGGAGATTATGCAACAGTGAATGAATTTTTTCCCCAAAAAATTAACAGAGAGGGTGTGGTGAGGAAAATGTACAACAATTAATTAATAAAAATCAAACATTTCTGTAATCTTTTGTTAAATTCACAATAAAAAATGTTAAACACTATTATAGAAAAAAAAGATATAATGTAATAGAAGTTATTTAGAAAGTAAAAAAGGTAATTAAAACTTTTAGACTACATTCAGAAAAGTAAAGGTAATTTATTATGCTTCATGCTTACATATTAAAATCAATACAGACAAAGATAAAGTATTTGACTAAAAAATTATTTTTTAAAATATCTAAAATTATTCTGTGGAAAAATAGCTAACGAAAATAGTAAAGATTCAAATTGAAAGAAATAATTTAAGAACTAGAATGTCAGTAAAATGGTTTCAAGTAATTTTTTTGAATGAAAATAAAATAACATATATCTTGCAAATAAATCTAGATGAACAAAAGTAAAATGCAAAGCAGATAAAAAATAGGGCTAAATATTAACAGAGAAGATTGAAAGTAAGAATACATTACACATATATTAATGTTATTATTGTTGTTATGCACCATCGAGTCAGAACCTCCTCTTAGCTGACCTTTCTGTGGGTTTTCAGAGGCTGTAAATCACACAGGAGGAAACTGCCTATTTCTCTCCCACAGAAGAGCTGATGGATTTGAATAGCATGCCTATTCAGTGAAGCTCCTTACCACGAAATAACTAGATCTTGATAAAATTGGTGAACCTCTGGAAAGCAAAACTCATAAATTTAAAACATAAAATATGTTGTTGCTTCCATACTGTTAAAAGTGATAGAACAGAAAACTTTTAGAGAATATTCTAAACCATAAAAATAAAGAAACTTATTAATTGATTCCATGAGGAGGAGATGAGCCTCATAAGGTCAGTTACTGGTAAGTAAAAAGAAAACACACACACACACACACACACACACACACACACACACACCATAAAAAAACTCCAAAACAAAACAAAATAAAAAACCAAAAAGAACCACCACAGATACAAAGATGAATGAAATAGCACTATAGCACTAAAACAACAGAGCATAATGATAATAAAAGTGAAAGGCAGTGTGGAGCATTACAACTATTTGATGAAAAGGTAACATTTGGTTATCACAGTGATTTGAGAACACTCTTATTTTGCTAGCAGGGAGCCAAGACTGCTGAATGTCTTTCAAAACACACCACACACACACACACACACACACACACACACACACACTACAAATGAATGCTTTCTTTTTTTTCTTAATGCTTTTCAATGTCCCCCTGATATTCACGTAAGTAAAAAACTGGTTTTTAATGATCTCAGCTGAAAACTATTATTATAATAAACACCAAGTAATTTTGCCCAAAGTTGACATACAGTGAATTTTCTAGGGATATATTTACAATATTTCAATGAGAGAAGAATTAGACTTGTCAGGAGTTGTTCATTCTTTTGGAAAAATTCAATCACCAGTGGCAATTCCACTCATGGCATCTCCGTACCAATATAAACACAGCTGTATCCTTCAGTCACATATAGTCCAAATATTGAAAAAATTCTATTCGTAGGACCAAGTATATTGTTGTCAGATGCCATCAAGTTGACTCCAACTTATAGTGGTAGTATGTACAACAGAAAAAAACCTTTATGGATCGTAAGCCATCCTTACAATCTACTGTGCTTAACCATTGAAACAGCAAGTGTATGCCTCTTCAGTTGTGTTACTTAGCATAGGCTTGCCTCAGTATTTACACTGTTGTTGCTGTTCTTATGTGCCGTCGAGTCGCTTGCAACTCCTCGCGACCCTATGTACAACAGCCCTAAACTCTGCTCTCTGTCCTGTGCCAATCGCACTGTCTCTGACACACCCATCCCGATTACCCCAGTCACTCACTCAATCCACCTCATAGAGGGTCTTCCCCTCCTGCGCTGTCCCTCCACCCTACCAAGCATGATGTCCCTCTCCAAGGACCTGTGCCTCCTTGCAACAAGCCCAAAGTATGTCAGACTAAGCCTCAGAATCCTTGCCTCCAAGGAGCAGCCTGGTTTAACCCTTTCTCTGGTGATCCTGTTCATTTTCTCAGCAGTCCACGGTACATTCGATACTCTTCTCCAGCACCA